TTATTTCTAATTCATAAGATAAAATTCATTATTAAAGTCAATGCCTGTAAATGGAATTATTTGGAATGGTAGTTCTCACAGCAATGCAGTGAAAGTGTAGAAACAAAATTACTGATTGTGCAAAGTAGAGATGAAAGATCACCTCTGTGAACACTGCTTTCTAATGCAAAACAATGATAAATACGGAACAAGGCTGAAATTTTATGACTATCTGTAAGAAAACAATACGTTACTCAGAAAAGTTCCTTTTCAAAGAGAAGGACTTCTGTTTATGTATCTTTAATCATATATTTGAAACTGTATCATTAAATAAGTTTTGCTAGCCATTCTTAATTTTGCGTGTCATGACCTGGTTTCTTTTAAATTCATTTTAGTTAATGATATATTTTAGATAATGGCAACCTCCTGTATTTTCTGGCATTATGCCATATAAAGTATTTCTGGTGTCCTGAATTTTCTTTCTATCCATATGGCAACCGCATTCTTAATTGGTGTTTGTGTTGATTTCCACTCACCTGAACCTGCATTTGGCCGTATCCGACACTCCATCACAACCAGCTCCTTACAATGCTTGTGTGCGTTGATACCACAGTCTCTACATTTGAAGCCTTGCCGAATTAGCCCCCACAGCTAGCAGAAAAAGAACAACAACATACTTTCGGAAATTCACAATTTTGGAAGGAGGAATATATACTAGTGGCAATAAAAAATTAATTCCTCACATTTAAAACGCTTTTCCCCTGAAATAACAAATATTTGGGGGTGTTTTGAACCTTTAACCAAACATAACTCTTAAAGTTTGATTTATGAAGTTATAAGCTTTGTTTGGTTGCATGCAGGAGAAATATTCCCTCAAAATTATTCAAAAGTATATCAATTGTTTTAATACAAAAAGCATTTAAGAACTGTATTTGTTGCTTTCTTCTTTTAGGATTTCCATTATTAATAATATTTTAAGGAAATAAGATTTTAAATTTATCAAACATTCACAAAGAAACTCATCAAGGAAGTCATATGTTTATCAGTTACAAAGTTTTGAACAATTTACGACATAAAAAAAACAACTTCTATGTCCCATTTTTGTCAAAATTAAAATATTCCTACTAGCATAGTCACCACACTTTGTATTAATTATTATATTTGGAACAATTATTGTGATGCTGGTGTAACAAAGGACTTTGTACTGTAAACACATTTCTTCTCAACCCTGTAGCAAAGGAATCTGATTGAAACTTATCTTCTTGTTGCTGAGAATAAACTCTGTGCCATAGGACTCTCTAGAGCCCAGTCCTTCATGTGTTATCAGTCACAGTTTTTTTTAACAAAAAACTATTAATTTATTCATAAGAGATAGTAGGCTACATCTTTATCATTAAGAATAATTGTGATAAGGTAACACTTTGTTATTTCAGTAGGAAAAGTATATATAGGCATGCACAACCTAAAACAAGGAGGCCAAGTATTTTTCTGGGTCCCTTTGGGTTCCCTTTTCCAGTAAACATTTTTTTCTTTAAATACATGGCAGTTTTATAGTAAATAAATAAAACAATACAATGAGAATAAAATTAGAAATTTAATGATACAATTACAAATGCAATTGTTTATTATATTAAAATATCCTACTTGTTTTCCAGTCAATATAGGATTAACCACAGTTGAAATTTGTTAGCACCAGATATTTTGTTAACCATTAAAAAATGTTTGCAGTTAAAACAGTTGAATTTATAGCACAGTGTTTCAAAAACTTAGTCTTTTCACATCTTCAGGAGATGTTTATGGTTTGCAAGGTCCATTACCACAAAGAAAATATAAACATGATAGTTTGAAACTTTACATGATTGTTTGAAACTTTGAAACAATCCAATATTAAAACATATTATTTGGTCAGAAACAAAATCAAAAACAGGGAACTGGAAACCAGCAAGCTTTTTTTAATGTGTTAACAAATTTCAACAGCTTTTAATCTTTGATTGTCAATCAGGATACATAATATAATATACTTTAAAAGCAAGAGAACAAATATAATTGATTGATTATTGAACAATTTACAGGGATGGCACAAGGTTTCTTATTTAAGTGCCATGTAGCAATTTATCAGCCAAAGTATCAGCTTTAAAATGAGAACAATCAGAAACTAATTACATTTACACAAAAAAATTGTTTTATTATATAGAGCTATTGGGCCTCTCTTGAAAGTTTCAAAGAAGCCATGGCCCCCCCCTAGTACCTCTTATGCACATATTACCTATGTTGATTTAATATTATTAATGAATTGTACAATTTCTTTTCATTACCATTTTTGTAAGTTCCTGATCACTTACATTGGAGATACACTTAAATGGATCAAATTGTCTAATTCAGCTTCAACTGGACACATTAATAATAAAAAAAGTTGGAACAAAAATTATTTTGTAGTTATTCTTACATCGCTTGTTGGACAGTACTGCCTTTAATATATTTTTAAAACTTTCTTAATCAAATGTTGATTTCTTAGATGTGTAAATCAATTCAATATGGTGAAAATATTTAATTCAAATGCATCTAATAAAACAAGCAACAAAATCTAATTTTCAAATGTTTGATAAAGCAGTTTATGATTGTTAAAGTTTTGTATTCAGAAAACAATTATGTACTAGCCAATTAGTAATTTACTTTAATTTTCTTGAATAAAAATGATTTGATAGCCAGTTAAAACACTGTTCATCATACTAATTAGCATACATCGTAACTCCAAATAGGACAGTTCTGCAATGTAAATTAATAAACATAGCCGGGAAACAATTTTATTTTTCCTTTCTTGTTGAACGTATAAATATTGGGGAACTCAATTATTGAAGATGCTTGATTAGTTATTTACTTTTATTTATTACTCTTATTTCATAATTATATTTTATCATTAAGTAAATAGAAAATTGAGGAGGGAATATGAAGTTTTGAGGTTTGCCCATTAGCATGATGTATTGTTAACACACTAGGAATAGACATAACTTAATTTTAGTGTTAACGCTAAGTAAGAATTTAAATAGATTATTAAACACTCAAGTAAAATAAAATAAAAAGCTAGAATATTAAATAAGTTGAAAAAATGGAAAACAAATTCACAAAGAACATTGAAATATTATTTGAAAACTATTTAAAGTAATTTATATGAACTTGTGCCCTCAATAGTTATTTAGTTATTTTGATATTTGTTTATTATGATTTCATATGTCTTTTGAACACAACTTTCCTTGACTTTCCCTGAATAAAATAGAGCAAATACGCTACTTACAAGTCCAGCACAATGGGCGCAGAATGTAGGTTTGAAATACGTGGTTTCATGAAATTCATGCTTGAATCCACTTTTCAAAGCATGACAATTTGCATGAACAAAATACTTCTTCATTTCTTCCTGACTGATCATACCATCACTGATAAGAGAAGAAAATTTATTAGAGTCTCATTTGATATATTCTTCATTTTTGGTACAGAAGACATATTATTATATACTTCTGGACAATTACTCATTATTATCAATGCAATTTTAGGCAATTAACGAGTGATGGATTGCTCATTGTTTTTTGTATTGCTAGATCTCTGGTGGATGATCCGTAGAACTTAAGGTTAACTTGGTCAAAAGAGTTATTTTAAGATGTTAATCAGATATTTCAGAACATTACACATTCTTTGATTTATTCATCTTAGAACAATTGGCTGTTTCAGAGAAGTAAGTCTTATTCATGACATGGACATAATAAATCACATTTGTATGCACCCTAAACCTCTGTAGGGATTAAGTGTTTTGAGTTTGACAGTTTTCACCAGGGATGAGATATGATAATAAATAATATAAAATAAGCTTTTGAGATTTGAGGAGTGTAGGTAGAAAAATTGGTAACCCACATATTGGTGAAAAATAAAATTTTTGCTGCAAAAATAATGAGAAGTATTTGTTGGCAAGTATTTCTTAGTTATAAAGATCTATATTTTAAAGCACATGTTTCACTCATGGAAGATTGTTACATTTTCATTGTTTTCTCAAGTTCTCATTTACAAGTCATGAGTTATCAAATTTTCTCCCCACAACTCCCATTATGTCTTACTGGTCAGCATCTAATACACAGAAGGAAGCAATGAAGGGGAAATTGCCAGCTACAGCCTCAAACTCTTCATGAGAGATGTAGCCATCCCGGTCGTTGTCATAATTTTTGAACACAGCATCCACCATGGCTGTAACATGCTTCTCGATGGTCTGTGGATCAGGAGGTGGGCATGGACCAGCTGCCCATTCAGCAAACAGCACTGACTGAGTTGGTGAGCTTTGTGGCTGAAAATTTAATCAAAAAATAGAGTTATATTTTCTTGCACACGGAATGTAGTAATTATAACTAATTTCTTAAGTTAATAAATTAAAAAGAAAATAATTGAAAAAATAATTTTCAACACTAAATAAGAAATACACACTATTAACTTATGGAAATTCACAAAGTAAGGTAAATATTTCAAGGGAGATATAAATGAAGGTCTGAGAGCTGAATACATTTATCAGGTTATCTTTTGTTAATTATTTATTGGAGTGTCCATAGCAGATGTTATAATTAATGATTAATGATAAAATTTGGTAGACACTAACCGAGGTGGCATTTCGGGGTTCTCGTGCTAAAGACAGTTCATAAATTTCTGCCTCCGTGTAAGCCAGATCCAATGATAACTGAAATTCAAGATACATTGTACTATTGGACATCATACATTGAAATACATCGATTCTATTTACAAATATTACAGGTATTACATTTGGAAATAAATTGTAAATAGATCAGTAGTTCCTTCCAAGTTTATTGCTGGTGCCATTCAAGAATATGCACACTTTTTTAAACTCCTTCCATCTACACAACAACATGAAACACTAACTACCCTTTCCTCAAAGATGTTCCATTCAATCATACCATGCACACATACTCACACACTTACAGAACAGGAGCATGGTATGGCAGTTATGAACGGTCATTTTTAGACCTGCCCAGTGTCTTTCTGAATCAACACATGCTAGTCCTTACAGCCAAAAACCTGACCAAAATATAAAGATTTAGTTTGATTTGCTTGAAAATTTGTATGCAATGGTTCTAGAGATTGTTGATTAAGAATATAAAACTAGTACTTTGTTAAAAAAAATTCTAGCAAATCAAGCCAAACCTTTGTATTTTTGGAAAGTTTTCAGTAGTTGGAGCCAGTGTGTGTCACTTCAGAAAGACACTGACAGGTCTAACAATGACCACACAAAACTGCCACACCTTGCCCCCCTGACTTAAACAAATATACCATCATTAAAAATTGGATGGAATTTCAAAGTAAATTTTTTAAAATTTTTTCATCTTAATCATAAGATAGATTTTTGATTCATTTTAACATTAATTTCTAATTTCTAGTCAATTATTAAATAATTATTACAAAAATCTGACAATGTTAATCTTTCATCAAACCTCTTCCCCTCGTTCATGGGGTTCAAGAGGCACCCCCTCTCCCTCCTAAAAGTGAACATATGTTTTTGAATTGGCCTTAAGATAAAATCTTCAGAATTGTGTTTTAAGATAATTACCCTGAGTGTGTTTACAAGATCCATGTTCACTTCAAAGGGAGGTTGAGAGTGTCGGAGGATCTCCAGCTCCTCAAAGATCACAGAAAGTTGTGCCATTTTGCGAACATTAATCATGTCACCTTCCAACCGGTCAGGTAATGCAGCATGAAGAGATACTAAATCCTTCAGGTGTATGCCCCTATAATGCAAAGTGAATTTCCATTTCAAAAATGATGACACTATTCTTCAATTTACAATTGTATCCCTAGTAAATATAAAAAAGAATTGTTAAAGTTATCAGAGATACCAATTTCAAATTGATAACTGGTCAAACTTTGTCTTCTATAATGAGCTAATTAGCTATTATCTTTTTAGAAAAATATTATATTATATTATTGAACGAAGTTCTCAAGCATATATTTCACCAAGAAACAGTTTTCATGAATAAAAAATTGTCAGAGTGAACATTTGTAACATTTGTAAAATGTACAGATTGAAAAGAGTACCATATAACAGTAATACTGTATCAAATGATTTAAACAAATAATACTTAAAGGTCTATTTCTCACAATAAAAAAATAAATGTATATCAAACATTAATATTAATACTGATACATGTGACCTGAAAACTTATTTTCACATTTATAGTGATATTAGAGCGTTTCCTTATTTTGACAATTATATTTACAATTAACAATGAATTCCATTCATAGAGATGGGTCAGACACTATCAATCTCTTGTACAAATTATGTGGTGTAGAGAAAAAGAAGTGGTCACTCATGTAAAATGATGACTAAGAAAAGAAGTAATGAACATGCTTCTTACATCAAATAACACTAATTTTTACAAAGAAGTATTTAGAAACATCCAGATATAAGAATTGGGGATATTTGAAACAAAACGGGTTTCACATAGGCTGTGGTACATAATATAAATCAAAAACATCCAACTGCAAATAACAGTTAATTTAATTAACAATATATTATGTTACTATTGTTTTCACATCAATATTCAAAACAATCCATCAAGTTACATTTTCTGAAAGAGATAACCAATTTTTTAGAAGGAATTATCTAAATGATCATATATATTATTTTAAAGAATAGAGCAAGTGCTTTATCTCAAAAGATTCAGTGGAAATAATATATGTGCAAATGCTCACAAGATGGGGATGCGGAAGCCTTTGGAATTTTGCAGAGCTCGCCGATAATTGGCAAAGTTTCCAGCAGAGGAAAGCAGTTCTGTGAGGTCTGCCAGAGCACGTTTGCTTTCGGGAGGCAGGCACTGAGTCGTGCGCGAGAGGCGTGCGAGTGCACTGTGCGTAACACTCCCCACCACGGCCATCAGACTGTTGAAGTTTTGCAGCTCAAGAAGTTTCTGCAGATGTGCACCATACAAAAATATTTGTTCTGTGATATCACAAGTGCTCATAAACTGTAGTCTATTTAATATTATTGCATGCTTTTCATTTATAACATTCATTTTTTTATGTATATTTACAGAAGTCATGGGATTCTCTCTATCATATTTTCTAGATATAGAACTTTAAAATAATTTCTGGTGATGTGTTTGGATATTCTTGTGTGATGCCCAATAATTAAGATAGAGTTATTGCTGTACAAGTTTTGTATTTTTTTACCCACAATTTAAAATGTTAGCATTTAATACGCTTTTGAAACAATACATTGGGAGAATTAGTTTTCTTTAGTTCAAAATCATATGTTTACCTGTGCAACAGCAATGAATTTGTCCATGACAAGGGCTCGCTGTGCAGGGGTTGTGCGGCTCAGAACCATGCACTGCACCCATTGTGTAAGCCCATTGCATAAAGCAACAGATCTCTCCAATTTAGGTGTTTGTGCCAATGATCCACTGCGAACATACTGTTGAACTTCTGTGAACTGTAAAGAAATATATAATTGATACAGAAAAAATCAATGGCAATATGATTAAAACATCATTTTGTTGCACCAATATTTACAATAACAACAGTCACTTCAATCTATTGAAGAACTCCCTCTTGGAATAAGTCTTCCCCGCATCCTTCCTTCTCCACACCTTTCTTAACAGCAGTACAATTACAGAAAGTCAATTGTGAAAGAATAAGAAAGAGGAAAAGCTTTGTAAATCAATCTATCAATACTGTGTATGTACAACAGCACATATTTTCTTGCAATATTTGTAATGTTTGCAAATTTCGAAAATTCTGGGAACTCAACAAAAATCGAACCTGCATCTTATTTACAAGCATGCACTTTCCGAGAAAAAAAATTGGAAACGTTTTTGAGAAAATCTTGTTAATGAAATTACATATATCCAACACAAAAGTACGCGAACACTACTAATATTTCAAAACAATATGCATAACCTTATTCAAAAATAAAATTTTGAATAACATATTTTAATATACAAAAATACTTATCTTCAAAATTGTAGTTAAAGCTATTTCGATAATTCAGAGAATTTAACGAAAATCGCGTTTTTATAAGCACACTTCTGCTCTATGGAAATCTGCGCCGTTTTTATAAGCACCATTTGCTCTATATTAGGAAAAAAATTCGAAGAAAAAATTCGAAGAAAAAATTTGGCGCCTTTTTGAAAAAAAAAATTGAAAATGTTACTGACGCTTCATGTACAGTACTCTCAAAATTACAATTCAAGGGGCCGCAACATCACCGACCGGGGTTAATCAATATTGATGAAAATTCTGCATACGGTTTAGCCGCTGTTGTTCACAGACAGACTGAGAGGCGTTTTGCCACAAACCCTTTTTGACATCTTTTAGTGAAAATAAGGACCCCAGAAGTACGGATTCTGACTGCACAATGTGACAGAGGACATTATTTTCTATATTATATATCAGAATTATCCTCTTGTTCAGAATCAGGGACCATCAAACAACTTGTACACGTAGGCTTCCGCGGCTCGAGTTCATGACTTCTTGGCTGTCAGGATGACGCCGCGTCGTTGTCTGAGAGGCCGACGTTTCGCATTACATATCGCAGGCTGAGAGACCGGGTAGTGACCTACGGTAGGTCACTACCCGGTCTCTCAGCCTGCGATATGAAATGAAGCCTGCGATGTGACAGGCGAAACGTTGGCCTCTCAGCCAACGACGGACAGCCAAGAAGCCTCAAACAATTTGTTCTATCGAAAAATCGCCGTTTTTGTAGCTGCATCACAATCACACGTACGTATTATGCGAGAAAGTAAGAAGACGCGCAGGGCGGGGGACATAGCGTACTCACCGCGACCCGTCGCAGCACCTTGTGCTCCAGGAAGGTGAGGTGCTCGGCGAGCTGCAGCGGCTGGAGGTTGTTGAAGACCAGCGACACCTTGCGCGCCGCCGACCCGGCGCCCGCGCGCACAGACACGTGCCGCATCCACTCGTACGACGGCACCTGCACCGCACAACGCCAATTCAGCGCACGCTTCGAGGAGTTATTTGAAAAAGAAAGCTACACTTAATGTAGGTTTGCTACAAGGATACCACTGGGATTCAGGACATACGGAATATATTGAGACGTAACTGAAATGTGTGGGTCCTGGGTAGGACCGCCACCACACGTAGTTTGAATTGGCGCGCAAATCTGGGTGCATTCAAGAGTGTCAAGTGTCGGCCGACTGGCTAGTTAGGGGAGACCTTCCTACGTCCTCGTCCTACCAGTGGACGAGATATTCAACCTCCTTCTGAATTCTGCAGTGGTCAAGAGAGGACGTGTGTGAGACCGGAGAGCAGACCACTTATACGTAAGTGAAACATAGCAAGCTTTTAAGCGAAAGTTTCTTATACTAGCGCTACAATTACGTGGTGATTTTTTTTTAAAAAAATCTGTAAATGAGTAAGCTGTGAGAACGTATGTTAATGAAATGAACTTTCATTTACATTGTGCGGTGAATTCAATAAACGTTTCATGAAGTTACGAAAGACAGAACGAAAACGAGTTAGGTATTGCGTGGCAGATCATTTTAATATAGAGCTCGCAGATCTATTCGGCAGTGTCTGTTCCTGTGTTTGCACCAGAAACGAATTAGGAAAACGAAAGAGAGGCTCCACTGAACGAATCATTCTGTTCCATAAGGCGCACGAACTGCGACGAGTCAAAATCACGAACGTCAAATTCGTGAGGAAAAGCGCACTGCCCGAGTGGAAACTTAGAGAAGGTCTGGTGGACTGAGGAAGAGGATGACAGGCTGGGGCAGAAGAAAGAAGATCCGAAGCTGCGTGAGAAGAGGGCTACGCAAGAGGCCTAGAATGGCCGCCGACCTTGTGTAGTTCGCAGCCAGCCCGGGAGGCGCAACGGCGCCGCTGCGAGCGACCACTCGACCTTCGCTGGTCGAGAGGGCGACAGGCGACGACCACAGAACGTTAAGTACTTATGAATTTGTTTCTGTGCGTCCGAGTGAAAACGCCAGTCGAATGTTAGTTTCGGAAGCTTACGTAACAACAATACTGCAACGTTATGAACTCAAAAATTTAATGTAATTGAATAGAACTCCATTTTTGCTAATTAGATCGGCTAACCAAGAGAAAATTAGTAGTTGAATTAAGACGACCGAGTATTTTTTTTAAGTGAATCACTCGTAAAATTAGAATAAGAATTTATTTTGGAGGGGAATTTATATACATTTTGAGTAAGTGAAAGGGGATGTGATTGTGAGTTTGTGAAGTACATCAAGGTATTTAAATATCTCTATCTCTCTGCTCTCGATATCTCTGCCCTCTGTTGTCTGTCTCTGCTCTCTCTCTCTCTCCTCTCTCTCTCTCTCTCTCTACTCTCTCGTCTACTCTCTCTCTCCACACACACACACACACACAACTCACTCACTCCTCACTCTCACCTCTCTTTCACTTGCGGCATTTATAACTCAAGAACGGCTGGTCAGATTTTAATTCTCATGATTTTTTCTATTATCTCCCCCCATAGCAGTAATATAGCAGAATAACAATAAATATCCGAAAAAACTTCACAAGATGGCGCAAAATGGTTGAACAAAACTAAATATTTTGCTATTAAATCAAAACCGCCACACAGTCTGCAGGATTTTTTTGAAAACTATTTGTGAGTCTGGATACTCACAGCGGAGCCACAGACACAGAGCTTTCGTATAACCAATATATTTATTAACAAAGAAAAACAAACGAATATATAACTTAAAATCTACTTACACCCTAGCCTCTGATAGACCTACTAGCCCCTGATCCGGAAGCGATCCCAAAACCCGATTGAAGATGGTTTTGATTGCTGGTAATCGCCACTCCTACTTTTGAAGCGCGCACAAGCCTAGCTTCCCGTGACGATGTTCACGCTGGGACACAAGTCCGTTCTGGCGCGACCAACGGCTGGTTTGCCTCATCGCAGGAGCGATCTTATCCTTGAGAATCGGCGTGATCGCTGGCACTCAACCACTTCCTCGGAGCACGCACCACAGCATCGCTCCCCGTGACCGCAGTCACCTAAGGACATAGTCCGCAGGCTTCGTCAACTAATGACTCAGCTCCCGACGAGCCGTGGCTCGCTATGCACCGTCTTGGCGCCAAGTTTTCGTGCACACGCACGAGGTTCTCCCACCGTCTCCAGAACATGCCTACTTTTGCTCCGTACACTCTGTTATATAGGCGAGGCCCACGTGACCTCCTACGTCACGCCACCCGCCTGCGCTTTGTCTACAGTGAAAAGCTTGCTATAAGCCGAAGACACCCCAAAGCCTTGTGGTCTCCCGTCTCGCGTTTTCCTTACGGAAAAAACCCCTTCTTCCTTGGCGAGGACTAATCGCTACCCAAGCGTCCCCAAATAGATGCCATGGGCACGCTGGCTAATTACGTTACACTATATTGTTAAATAGCGAAGCTTGCTAGCGGCATTTAAAACTAAAATTTTGAAGCCAAAATCTCGATGAATACACCTAATATACAGGATGAGATCTTTTTGAACATTCTTTTACATTTTTTCTAGGTGGAGGGGGAGAAAGAGAGAGAAAGGGCAAAACGCCTGCCGGGTTCCGCTAGTGAAATATTAAATAAAGCATGACTTTGGTCGATATTAAAAGAGTTATCGACTGACTGCATATCGCTTTTGCATTCAATCTCTTGCACTAACACACTGTGCGAGAGAGGGACGCACACCAGTACCTTTCTTTAACTATTTTTCAGCTCTCCAATTGCACCGTAAAAAATAACAATAGATATTTTGTAAAGGAATTAGCCGCTTGTTGGCTTTATGTAGCGCATTGTTCTGTGATGTAGTGCATAAGTAGTCCCAAAACGCAGGTTGTTTTGTAGGACTCTATGAGATTAAAGCAGTATAAAAATTGAGGACTTTTGGCGGAAACAAAGAAAAATCTAGCGGAACAATGGGTTACTTGTCGATATTTAGGACATTTCCCCTTTTGAGCCCTCTTTTCCATTAAACTCTTTTTATTTACACAAGGAATTTTACATGAAAATAAATAAATGTAATCAGTGCTTGATTTATAAAATTTAGGTCCCTGAACGCACCCCAAATTACTTATTAACTTAAAAGAAATAATTATATATTTATAGTAATCGCGTTCCGTCAGTAATCAAGCCCTGAATATACTACAGGAAGAATGAAATTATAAATTTAAAGATACCATTTATAAATACAATTGATTTCATGATGAACCATTTACAGAGATGCTAGTTGGTTTGGAGATCATCTTCCCTAAATGTTGTAAATCAATTTCCCAAATTGTCAGGTTAAATAAAGAATTAAATATATTTACCGAAACAAAATATTATAATGTATAGGGCTGCGGGTCCTTTTTCGAAATTTTCAAGTGGGCCACGACCACCATGGTCCTTTGCGCACGTCTATGTTGAAATGTAGTTTTCTGCTGCCATAAACCTGAGTATCTTATATTTCATTTGCACCATATCACGTGTTTGTACATATTCCTAATATTTTTCCTACCTCAAACGCTTTCCTCCATCTTCACAAGTATTACAAACGCGTAATAATATAATTTTAATGAAGCTATTTTAAGGTTTTGAAATTTTTACAATATTTTGATGTCCAGTGGCACGGTTAATTTTAACTTCATCACTTCTCTTTTATTTCTATGGGAAAATTAGAAGAACTGATGGAAGTGAAAACTTATTTGGTGAAAATTCCATGTCTTTTCAGTTCAGTTTTGGGCGGCTGCGTTCTCGTGCGTGCGTGCGCGCGCGCGCGCGCGCGCGCGCGTGTGTGTGTGTGTGGTGTACCATTTGTATGAGTGAGAGAGAGAGAGAGAGAGAGAGAGAAAGGGAGCGAGAGAGAGGGCGAGAAAGGGAGCGAGAGAGAGGGAGAAAGGGAGTGAGAGAGATATAGGGAGAAAGGGAGCGAGAGAGATATAGGGAGAAAGGGAGCGAGAGAGAGAGGAAGAAAGGGAGTGAGAGAGAGGGAGAAAGGGAGTGAGAGAGAGGGAGAAAGGGAGTGAGAGAGAGGGAGAAAGGGAGCGAGAGGGAGCAAGAGAAAGGGAGCGAAAGGGAGCAAGAGAGAAGGGGAGGGATCAAGAGAGGGAGGAGAGGAGGGAGTGAGTGAGAGAGGCAGTGTGTGTGTGTGTGTGTGTGTGTGTGTGTGTGTGTTTTGGGGAGGGGAAGTGAGAGGGAGTACCTGAGAGAGGTCGAGGCGCTGGGCCTCGTGGGGAGGCAGCGTCGTCTGGAAGTCCCTGAGGGCCTGAGCAAGTCCGCGCTCCAGGTCGAAGTGCATGGGAAAGGTGCGGATCCAGTACCTGCAACACAGCACGACGCACGTTATCAGTTAAAATATTAGTCACTCTCGCTCCCAAACAAACCACACAATTAGTAAATCCTGTATTTCGTCTGACAGACGGTCTCTACCGCCTGACTGATGCTCTGACTTCCTCTGGCAAGTCATACCATCATATAAATGATATATAATAAAGGAACGACAAATGAACTTTGAGAAACAACATCAACCACACCGATTCATTCACACGTACCCCGATTCATTCACGGTACACTCAGGGTACCGTCATGCGTCATGCGGAAGTAAGAGAAAGGGACGGGCGCAGAAAGAGAGGGCGGGTGGTCAAAGAGAAGAGAGTGTGCCCGCAAAGAGGGA